AACCGGCCCTTAAAGGGCATTGGTCAGGGTATAACCAGCACCTTAGGCACAGTTAAAGCGGATTTAAAAGGTGATGACCTTCTAATTTACCACAAATTCCATGTCGTAGAAGACGACTTTCCAATACCATGCGATGGAATAATAGGACTAGATTTCATAAAGAAATACAATTGTATTTTAGATTACGGGAAAACAGAAGATAAATTAATCCTAAGACCATATGATTTTCCCCAATCAATAACAATGCACCTAACAAATTGTCTGTCTGTCAATACAATTACGATCCCTGCTAGGTCCGAAGTCATTTGGCAAGTTAAAGTAAACACCGATAACAAAAACATCTTCATACCGCATCAACAACTACCTGAAGGCATTTTCATAGCAAACACAATCACAAATAAGGATCAAACTTTCGTTAGAATCATCAACACAACACATACAAACAAAACTATTCAAAATTACAAGATTAATACTGAAAATCTAGATGACTACACACTAATTGAAACAACCACACACAATGGGCCGTATGAATAAAAACTAAGCAATTGCTTTTTCTTAAAATTTCTTACCTTTTACTTCAATTTTGTTTGAATAAATTGAGTTAAAGATCTGAAATTTTAAGAAAAAGCAATTGCTTATTTTTATTCATACGGCCCAATAAAAAGTGCAATGATACAGAAAAATTAAAAAGATTAACCAAAAACTTTCCAAAATTTGCTAACTCTCAGCTAACAACATTATGCACAGAATTCATAGACATATTTGCACTAGAAACAGAACCAATTTCCTCTAATAACTTTTACAAACAAAAATTATACATGAAGGATGACACTCCTGTTTACATAAAAAATTATAGATTGCCTCAAACACAAAAAGGAGAAATAAGCAAACAGGTAAATAAGTTAATCGAAGATGACATAATAGAACCCTCCATATCAGAATACAATAGCCCAATCTTACTAGTCCCTAAAAAATCACTTCCAGGGACAACCGGAAAAAGATGGAGATTAGTGGTTGACTACAGACAGGTAAATAAAAAATTAGCAGCAGACAAATTCCCACTTCCAAGAATTGACGATATTTTAGATCAACTTGGAAGAGCAAAATATTTTTCATGCCTGGACCTTATGTCAGGTTTTCATCAAATAGAATTACACCCAGACTCGAGGGATATAACCTCATTCACAGCTGAAAATGGCACATATAGATTCAAAAGACTACCCTACGGATTAAAAGTAGCACCGAATTCATTCCAAAGAATGATGACACTAGCATTTGCAGGCCTCAAACCATATCAGGCATTTCTCTACATGGATGATTTGGTTGTATTAGGTTGTTCTGAAAACCATATGCTAATAAACTTAAGAGACGTGTTCTCCACTTGCAGAAAATACAACCTAAAATTACATCCAGATAAATGTCTATTTTTCAGCCAAGAAGTAACATATTTAGGACATAAATGTACAAACAAGGGAATATTACCCGACCCAAGCAAATTCGAAACAGTCCAAAATTACCCAACACCAAAAACAGCCGATGAAGTTAAGAGATTCGTAGCTTTCTGCAATTATTACAGAAGATTTGTACCGAATTTTGCAGAACACTCAAGAAAATTAACTAGGCTTTGCAAAAAGAATGTTTCCTTCGATTGGACAGAAGAATGTCAAAAAGCTTTTGTCTACTTAAAGGAAGCATTAATTAGTCCAAAACTTTTGCAATACCCAGATTTCGATAAAGAATTCTGCATAACAACAGACGCTAGTGTGTACGCTTGTGGGGCAGTCCTTAGCCAAGAACACGATGGCAAACAGTTACCAATTGCTTACGCTTCTAGGTCATTCACAAAAGGTGAAATCAACAAAGCCACAATAGAAAAGGAATTGGCCGCAATCCATTGGGCCATAACCTTCTTCAGGCCATATGTCTATGGCAGAAAATTTCTAGTTAAAACCGACCACTGTCCTTTAACACACCTATTCTCAATGAAGAGTCCTTCGTCTAAATTAACACGAGTAAGACTCGATTTAGAAGAGTACGATTTTGAAGTGGAGTACATCGCCGGAAAGGAAAATCACATTGCGGATGCATTATCTCGCATAACAATTACAAACTTAAAAGATATGTCAGTGGAAGCAAGTAAAATACTAAAAATAACAACAAGATCAGCAGCAAAAAATACCAGCAGTAATATTGAAAATAAAGAAAGTCACAAAGAGAACCCCAAAATATACGAAGCGCTAAATAAATTTGAAGTAAAAAGACATGTCGAGCTCGTTTTCAATCCTCCGAAATTATATTTCAAAAAAGTAAAGAAAATTTGTAGCTATTTGGATACAAGCAACCTAATTGTTCAGGATAAGATTGACTTAGGACAATTCTTTACCAGGCTTGAAAGAGAAGCAGGCAATTTAGGACTTGTACAAATACAGTTGTCCTTAGGGGACAAATTGTTTAAAAGAAATTATACTGCAGTAGGCAAATTTATAGAAATGGGTAATAAAGTTCTCAAAAATCTAACAATCTCACTAAACCCAGAGGTTATATATGTGACAAATCCCGGGAAAATTAAAGAAATTCTGCATAAATATCATGACGATCCTATTAGTGGTGGCCACCCAGGAATAAATCGCATGACAGATAAAATCAAGCAGAAATATAGCTGGCCAAATATGAAAAATGACGTAAGAAAATACGTAAAGAACTGCATCCACTGTAAGAAAATAAAACTAATAAGCACATAAAGGAGCCAATGACAATATCGGAGACACCTCCGAAGGCATTCGATATTGTACAAATCGATACAGTCGGACCATTACCGAAGTCGATAAATGGAAACGAATATGCCAGTTACCATTATATGCGATCTAACCAAATACTTGGTAGCGATCCCAGTCCCAAGCAAACACGCAACAACAGTCGCTAAAGCCGTGTTCGAGCATTTCATTTTGATTTATGGACACATGAAAACAATCATGACGGACATGGGCACAGAATACAAAAATAACTTATTCAAAGAATTGTGTAAACTGTTGAAAATTGAGCATAAAACTTCAACACCGTATCATCATCAAACCTTGGGTACTGTAGAACGCAGTCACAGGACATTCAATGAATATATACGTTCATACATATCCAGCGACAAAGATGATTGGGACGAATATCTCAGGTATTTCGCGTATTGTTACAATACGACGCCATCAACCACACATAAATATTGTCCTTTTGAACTTATATTCGCAAAAAATCCACCAAATTACGAATTTCTAAAAGAAAAAAAGATCAGCCCATTGTCCAATCACGAAGCTTACGACAAAGAAGTAAAATATAGACTTCAAATAGCACAGCAAAGAGCTAGGAAATTAGTCCAAGAGGCTAAAGAAAAACAAAAAACAAATTATGACAAAAGTAGCTACAGTAAGGAAATAAACATAGGAGATTTAGTGTTAGTTAGAGAAGAGGCCTCCCATAAGCTAGAAAATAAATATAACGGATACTATAAGGTTGAAAGTATTGATAAGAATAACAATTTTACTTTAATACCACATAGCATAGGAAATACCAATAAAAACAATAAAAATAAAGAAATTATAATTCATAAGAATAGACTTAAAACAGTATAAAACCTTAGTAATAACAAACAAAAAAAACCCAAACAATAAGCACTCCAGTTTACTCATATTAATAAACAGGCACACGAGCCAAAGAAAACAAAATACAACATATCATGTTCGAAAAAAAAGGCAAAGTCAGCACAAAAAAGACACATGTGAAACAAATGTAAACAGATAAAAACCCACACAACAAACTCTTTATGCAATAATTGCAATAAGAGCCGAAAAGCAATTAAAATTTTGTAAACTCAAGCAAACCTTAAGTAGGTCACTAAGTCTTTCTAATAGATATATACAATTGACTGCAATCGTATAACTCTATTCTTAAGGAGGAAGGTGTAGTATTACACTAAATATCGACCGCACACAGCTAAGCCATTATGACCCACGATTGAGAGAATACAAAGGTTGCGCCGATCTCGGACCGCTATTCCTCTCTTAACGAATTTGACAGAATCGTTGTTTGCATGACGTCACACTGGTGCAACTTGTTTACGTTTTCCTTGCAACATTTTTTCTTCTTCTTCCATTCTTGCTCACGTTTTGGCATTTCTCTCTCGCAATTGCACCAGTGTGACGTCACACAAAAGTTATTCTCAAAAATCCTCTCTGATCGGCGCAATCTTGTATTCTATCATTCTTGATTATGACCCAAATAAATTCTAATGAACTCAGCGGGAGTTCAAAGTCATATATATATCTGTTTACATTTGTCATCATTATTACTCAAGCCGTCGCATTGACCAACTCACGTGACTAATCGACAGTGTCGGTTTGTCAACAGTCGAAATAACTATGAAGAAATATGCTGACTTTGCATACTATGTAAATGCTTGTAGTTTATAAGTATTAGTGTAAATTAGTGTAAGAAATTTTGTATAAAAAGAGAATACTTTCAAATAAAAGAATCAATGCTGATTACTCGTAAAAGCTGTCTACACTTCATTTCATGGGCCACCAGCTGATTACACCTCACAGTATACCGTTATACTCACCTCACTTATTCCAATATTTTTATTTTTATTTGAGATTTGGAGCCCAACTGCATTTAAGCCCACATTTTATATATCAGCTTGAAGATAATTAATTGTCTTTATTTTGACATCATTACCTTATGAATCGGTTACGCAGTTTATCAAATACTGATATTTTAAAATATCACAACTATTTAATTGCGGCAAATAACATTTATATAGTTAAAATCAGCGTAAAAAGTACTAACGGTGTGCATTTTTTGTTTTTCTATAGCTGAACGGTTGGTTATCTTGATGTATGCCTACGTGTGAAACACACATGTGGTGTGAGAGTGCTCAGTGAGCTATGGCTGCCAACCACTGCATTAAATCGACAATTGGACAAAAATAATCGATTAATTTAATCAAATGATTAAACGCTGCCATTACTACTCCTAAGATTTTACAGAGTCATTTTCATAAGATTTTTTATTGACAGCTCATTTATTGCCGCGTTTAAAAATGGAGGTGTTTATTCCAGAAAAGGTATATGTAACAAGATTCTAGAGGCTTATTTAATTTTAATGTAATCTTTAGGAGGATATTCTCGATTTCAAGTTAAAAGATGCTCATAGTTCCTTGGATGAACTAGACATAGACGATTTGTACGTTCGATACAAGGTAAAAAATGGCGTGTTAATTTCATACTTTTCGGAAAAATTTAAATATTTATGGAAGCAAGTTTGTTGTAGGATTATTTCGATATTATAGATTCGTACGGAAGCCAGGAGACGCTAAATTTATGTTTCATGCAAAACTATTATAATTAAAATTTTAATGTTGCAGAAACTACAAAAAACGCTTGAATTTCTAGAAGTACAAGAAGAATATATAAAAGATGAACAGCGCAATTTAAAAAAAGAATATCTTCACGCTCAAGAGGAAGTCAAGCGCATTCAATCAGTCCCATTAGTGATTGGCCAATTCCTAGAAGCTGTTGACCAAAACACAGGGATAGTTGGTTCAACAACTGGTTCCAACTATTATGTTCGTATTTTATCTACCATTGACCGCGAATTATTAAAGCCATCGGCGTCGGTGGCATTGCATAAACATAGTAATGCCTTAGTAGACGTGCTCCCTCCAGAAGCCGATAGCTCAATATCGATGCTGCAACCAGATGAAAAGCCCGATGTAAGTTACGCAGATATTGGAGGGATGGATATGCAAAAACAAGAAATTCGTGAAGCTGTCGAATTGCCTTTAACACACTTCGAATTATACAAGCAAATTGGTAAAACATGGGGAATTTTTTGTAATTTGTACAACGATTTTGGGGTGTCGGTGGAGTGAGAGTGGGCGTGACCCCCACGGGACTATAACTCACACTAATGGCGCTTTCGTTTCTACAAAAAATGTTGCCTTCCGTCTTAGTATGTATTTGTGCGCAGAAGGCAAAGAGAAGGTAATTTTTTTAGTAGAAACTAAAACGCCATAAGTAGAATTCTCTTTCTGTTTTTCCGAAGAAGATATTTTTTGTGTCTAATAGCTCAGCTAGGAAATTCGCAAAAAGTACCACATTTTAAACCGAAATTATTAATAAATTAATGCACAGCTTCGGTGCAGCGAGTTTTTTGCAATACGGACAACTATTAAATATATTATTTTTCGCTAACTTTTAATAAACATACATACATTACGGTTATAATAATAACTAGCAGACCCGGCGAACTTTGTCCCGCCCAAAATTAGATTTTTAGTTTAAACATTTAGGTCCAACATTTTCTCCAACAGTCCACGTTTACGATTTCCATTGGCACATTCATCGGCTAAGGTTATGGTTGGTGGTCGTTTGCCGCCTTAAATAACTTAACCAAAGTGTTATGTTCATGAAGAAGTTCCCTGGCGGCAACAATGATCCGGATCTATAGTGAATCTGCCTTAGAAACTATCTTATAGTTGGTGTCAATTTCAAAATGGGTGCGTATCATTGTTCAACAGAAATCCTTTATATGTACAGTGACGAACAAAAATATTGGGACAGTGAGTTCTTCGCAATATATGCAAAGTTTTTTATTCTAATTTATTTTCGATATTTTTTTTATAAAAATATAGTTAATTTTACACCAAAAAACATAAAAATAAAATCTCTAAACTTTGTGCGAAACTCAGGGAAATTCTTTAAATTTGCACACGAATTTGCAACTTTTTATTCAGATTTTTTTAGAAGTATAAGTATGCAGTTTTATAGTCCATTGAATTTCAGTATAACAAAATGCTACTTTAAAGTTGCAAGAAAATCGTGTTGGTTTTTGGCATTTTTTTTTTTGTGGAAGGTGTTGCTAATTTTCTCCATACAAAAAATAATTGTCGAATATACTTTGTATGGAAGAACTTGCCTGAAAACAAACTACCAAAAATCAACGCGATTTTCTAGCGACTTCTAACTTGCACTATATTATACTAAATTTGAATGGGCTATAAAACTGCATACTTAGAATTTTCCTAAAAAATCTGAATTGAATAATGATTTTTCTTGAGTTTTGCACAAAGTTTAGAGATTTTATTATTATGTTTTCTCGTGTGCAATGTACAATATTTTTATAAAAAATTATCGAAAATAAATTGGAATAAAAAACTTTGCATATATTGCGAAAAATTCACTGTACCAATACTTCTGTTCGGCACTGTATGTACATAGACTTATTTCAGATGAAATACCTTAAAAGCTAGTTTCATGTAAACAATTTACATAAGTAAAAAATGATTTTTTTCTGCCAGGTTCCATATTAAATTCAAGTAAAAAAATAAATTTTCATTAAACTGCTTTCATGAAACTGGCTTTTAAGGCATTTCGACAGGTGGTGATTTGAGATTTACCACTGCACAACTCAACCCTGGTGTCTCCGAATGAAGCTTTAACGCATAATAATGTTGGCAAATCAAATCCATTGGGTCAATCGTAACACACGAGAGTTCGATATACTCAATGGTTCAATAGATCGATTTAGTCTGACATCCACGGCACCTTTTCTTACTTGTCGATTTTTGGTAATAACTCGACCTCAGCACCACCACCTCAGCTCTTTTGCAATTGGACTGCCTTTACCGTTTCCGATACATGTTTTGAATATTCGCCAAATCGGATCATAAAAAGATTTTTAGTAATAACTCAACTACAGCGCTAACTGGCGGGTTAAATTGTGAAACTAAACTATCCAAAGACCCACTCAAACACAAACACAAAACTTTGTTAAAATTCCTCCAGCCGTTTAGGATTTCACTCACAAACATGCCCAGAAAAGAATTATATACACATTCAAAGATAAGTAAAAGTCAGTACGTTTGTGCTTTGCCATGCCTTCTTTTCAAAGAGCCCATTTTTCTCCATGAGTGTGGGATTGATTTCATATATCTCCATATGAAGTTCCAGTACTGTACCGTGAACATTTCCAGAGATATGCAGTATGAAATCCGGCTTGTATGGTAGGTGCCACGCCCCCTTTTTCCAATAGCTCCATATTTTCTCCATGACTGCGATTAATTTCATATATCTCCACACCAAGTTCCAGTACTCTGCCAAGAACAATTCTAGAGATATGCAATAAGAAAAATTCGACTTGTATGGGAGATGCCACGCCCGTATAAAGTTCCAGTACTCTACCATGAACATTTCCAGAGATATACAATATGAAAAATTCGGTTGCATATGAGGCGCCACACCCCTTTTCCAATAACTCCAATTTTTCTCCATGAGTATGTGATTGTTTTCATATACAGATGCGTGCAACTAATTAGCAACGAAATTCAAAACGATATTGCTTTCAAATTATGTTTATTTATTTTTAATAATTTTCATTTAAAATATAATTCAATCTATATCAGAAACCACAATAACAAAAGTTGCAAAGCTTGCACAAATTGCAAAAAAAAATAATCAAACTTCAAAAAATTGTCATCAAAATTTCAAAATTTTTAATTAGACTATTTAGAAAATTTTCGGGTATGCAGTTTTGTAGCTCATTCAATTTTAGTATAATAAAGTGCAAGTTTCAAGTCGCTAAACATTACCGTTGATTTTTTAGAATATATACATATAACACATGATCAAAATCTTTTTTTACATGGAAAAAAATCCGCAACACCCTCGACAAAAAAAAATTCTAAAAATCAACGGTAATTTTTAGCGACTTGAAGCTTCCACTTTATTAAACTAGAATTGAATGGGCTACAAAACTGCATACCCCAACATTTTCTATATATTCTAATTAACAATTTTTTTAAGTTTGATTAATTTTTTTGCAATTTGTGCAAGCTTTCCAACTTTTGTTATTGTGGTTTCTGTTATAGATTGAATTATATTTTAAATGAAAATTATTAAAAATAAATAAATAAACATAATTTGCAAGCAATATCGTTTTGAATTTCGTTGCTAATTAGTTGCACGCATCTGTATTTTCGTACCAAGTTCAAAAATTTTACCATGAACGCTTCCAAAAATATGCAGTATGAAATATTCTGGTTGTATAAGAGGTACCGCGCCCTCTTTTTCAATAGCTCCAATTTTTCTGCAAGCATATGCGATTGTTCTTATATATCTCCACATCAAGATCCAGTACTTTACCATGAACATTTCCAGAGATATGCAGTATGAAAAATTCGGTTTGTATGGGAGGTTCCACGCCCCTTTTGTGTATCGAGATTTTTGTTAGCCTATAACCATCCTTTGAACGTCTGCAGCAGGTGTCTGGAATTTCGAAAAAATCGGTTCAGCCGTTCTCGAGCTTTGCGATATACATAGAATCTATGACCCCTATTAAGGCCCTTATTATGAGCTGCATTCGATTTTCGATCTTCGCTGGCTATCGAAGATCGAAGATCGAAAGTGAAATTCGTATTATGCGCTATGCAAGCGTGTCGAAATTTTCGTTGAGTATCGAATTTTCTGTCGAACAGAATTTTGATTTCGATGGTGTAGCGAAGTGTTAGAAAATTGTGAAAAATTTATGATTTTGTATATGTTTTCTTACATTTTGGCGGCTAGACACTAATTTTAAACAATTTTTATTAATTTCATGCAGTTCTAACATCGTGAATACTAAACACAAGCTCGAAAGGCTGGTTTTACTTGGGAAAGAAAATCCCAATACTCTGTTGGCACGATCTCTGAGAACAAAATCGTAGCGCTGTTGATAGTTTTAAAATATTTTAAATAGATTTGGCTCACAAACGCCTCTTTAGATGGTCGGAATTTTTTAATGAATCTGTAGACAAATTTCTTAAATATATTTTATATCAAAATATATTCGAAAGACTAATAAACTTAAACTCTCTTAAACATTTGCTACTCCTGGCCAGTTTACTAAGCTCTCATCCTCTGACGAATCGTTGAACCAGAACTCGTTGTACTCATTTTACCACGTTTTTATAAACTTGCTTTCTTTTTTACTTCATTTTAATTAGAACAAATTTACATAAATATGTATAAGCACACTATTTAGTTTGCTCGATTTGTAAACAAAGCTTCTCAGCGGTGAAAAATATACTATTGTGAACAACCTAAACGAGCGAAATTCACAATAGCGCAATTCTTCATCGAATGAGCGCCATAATACCAAATGAAAATTCGTTCGCTCAGCACTTTCGACCACAGTCGAAAATCGAATGCAACTCATAATAGGGGCCTAAGAGTTACATTCGATCATCGACTGTGGTCGAAAGTGCTGATCGAACGAATTTTCATTTGATATTATGGCGCTCATTCGATGAAGAATAGCGCTATTGTGAACTTCGCTCGTTTATGTTGTTCACAATAGTATATTTTTCACCGCTGAGAAGCTTTGTTTACAAATCGAGCAAACTAAATAGTGTGCTTATACATATTTATGTAAATTTGTGCAAATTAAAATGAAATAAAAAAGAAAGCAAGTTTATAAAAACGTGGTAAAAATTAGTACAACGAAGTTCTGGGGTTCAACGATTCGTCAGAGGATGAGAGTTTAGTGAACTGACCAGGAGTAGTAAATGTTTAAGAGAGTCTACAGATTTACTAAAAACTTCCGACTGTCTAAAGAGGCGTTTGTGAGCCAAATCTATTTAAAATATTTTAAAACTATCCACAGCTCTATGATTTGTTCTCAGAGATCGTGCCAACTGAGTATTGGGATTTTCTTTCACAAGTAAAAGCAGCCTTTCGAGCTTGTGTTTTGTATTCACGACGTTAAAACTGCATGAAATTGATAAACAATTTTTTAAAACTAGTGTCTACCCGTCATCTTCGATAACCAGCGAAGA